GAAGAGGAAGAGGAAGAGGAAGAGGAAGAGGAAGAGGAAGAGGAAGAAAAGCCCCTCCAAATTTCTCACAGTTAAACTAATTCACAAGGGAAATGAACAAAGCAAACCTCAGACAGAGAAGGGAAGTTTTTTTAGGCAACAAAATGAGACTTTTTTTCTATTTTACTGGTGTATGGATATGATATGAATATGTTTGCTACAGGCTGCCTGTGTAAGTCTCACTAGGTTAGGAATTTGTGTAACCCCAGTAACACAACGGAACTAAAACTCAGTTTTCAATAAAACTAGCAAATGCCATTAATTTTGGGAAGCAGTGGAACATTTCTCTTTAAGATATTATTTAGAATTAGTGAGTAAGCATAAACACAATGCAGACATCTATCTATTGTCAAATTAAAGTTTTAAAAATTGAGAAATGCAAGCTCTAAACAAAAAATCTGACGTGTGACCTGTGCAGTTACTCAACCAAAAATTAACTCATGTAACTGAATTGCTTCATGTTACCTCTTGACATAGAGGGAAAAAACAGTTATTTTGATATCAAAAAACGGTTAATCCTTTCTCAGGATGCAGAGCAAAGATAACAAGTAAGACCTAACTGTTCTCTGCTGCTGCAAGGATATATCTCCCTCTCTTTCCACTCGTACTCTTCTCCCTCTCCTCTCCAACTCCCCTTCCCATTTTCATACGTGTAGCAGGAGGAGAGTCTTTTTGCTATATCTCCCTTTCTCTCGCATCTGCTCTGTCATGTCTGCTACTGAAGGAAAATTCTCATCAGAGTCTGTGGAAGAAAAGGGTGGATAAGCCCATCCAAATTGCTGTAGTAACAGAAAATTAGTTGCTTTTATTGTCTTTCGTTTTCTCTTTTTTTCAAATTTAGTTAATCAAGTTGGTCTACAACACAGAAAGTGCTTGCAGTGTCTCAAGGTTGAGTTGAGTTGTGTAGGCAGGAGTACGGAAGGAGCTGAGGTTAGGAAAAAGGATATTGCTGTTTCCCTCTTGGAGGCAGCAAGCTATTAATATCTCAGTTTCTTGTATAGCTACAAGGAGTTGGTCTGCTACAGCTGTGATACAGAGAAATTTAATGTGGTTTTACCACATACCGATCTAACACAAGGTCTAACTTTATACATCCAGCTTAAGCACTTAAAATAGAGCCAACCCTCTAAGTACATTAATAAATTTGTCAAAAGATGACTTAACATTCAGTAAGGAACATAAAAGCCTGCCAACTTCTAAATCAGATGACCAAAGTTAAATAGGGTTAATACATGAATATTCATTCTAAGCCCGATGGCCCAGTGGAGAAACAGGGATCTTGAGATTTCCCACGGGGTCCATGTTTTTTAGTATATGAAGAAGACATAGGCATCATTTTTGACCTTGCAGAAAACAGAATTGCAGAGGTAGGAGTCTGAAAATGCTATGCCAGCAACCAATATACTTTTGCTGAGAGGTGAACTCTTGCTGCAAGCAAAATGTAATACAGCTGGCTATCTGTATACTACGATAATACAGGATTTTAGTGGAGCTTTGCTGACACAAAATTGGAATAATGCAGTGCATATCAACCCTCTACTAAAAATTTCCTTCTATCATTTTCTACCTCCTCATAATGGGATAGAAGAAATATTAGCTTTTTTTTTTTTTACCACTTCTTAGCTTTAGAAGTAAAGTTTATTGTGGTACTTGTGCTGTTACACAAACGTTTTTCCTGCTACGTGAAAAAACTAATTTGAAATATATTATTTTGCATGAATTTGTTTTTTCTTCTCTTCGTAGGTGGATTGCGTTGCTCTAGACTACAATGAGTGTTGCCTGGCATGTTTCTTAATTTTTGTTTTCAGGCAGTCCCTCTGCTTTTCATTAACATCTGCCCATGCTAAGCTTTTGACAGACTATTTGATTTTAACTCACTTTCCACAAGCCTCCTAACTCTCTTTCGTCTGTGCTTTCATCATGAATTTCCTCAAAAATGCTTCTTTTTTTCTTCCCCTGCAGCTAAAAGAGGTTCTATCCATTCCCCTTAGCTTTATTGGTGAAATCACTAGGTAGAACTACATGAATTGGGTCTCAGCAAGGATTTTTGAATTTTTTGTACACAGCTGGGTTGCCTTTGTTAGACATTTCTCCCCATGGTTATGTTGCAAGGTCCAGCCTTTACATTCTTACCACTTCTTGCATTTCTAACGCTCAGTAGGACGGCTATCATAAATGTTACACATTACAATTTTATCTACAAAGAAAAGTGATTCTGGTGTATATTTTGATTTTGTATAATTTTGGGGTGTGAATGCATTAGCTCTAGTTTGGAAACAGACTGGTATTCAATCTACTTCTTAATGAGTAAACTGCTGTATTGGTTGGTTTGTAAGAGCTCAGTTATTTATGATTTGAGGGTATACAAAAAATTATCTGTAGTGTGATTTAAAGCCTACTGAATCAATGAAAAGAGTTTCACAGGCAGTAGCTAGCCTTGTAACAGATTCTCCATGCAGTATCTGTCCTCTCCTAATTACAGATGCCTTGTCTTGAGACATATTTCGTAACAGCCAATATAGGATGCATCTCTGCTAATTCAAAAATGAAAAATGGTATTTCAGCAGTATATGTAAATGTATTTATAAAACCAAGAGCAAAATTACAGACCTTTATAATTAATTTATCAGCATTTTCAGTTTTCGATCCATAACAAAAGAAATAGCAATAAATATTGAGCAAATGAAAGCATTTAGAGCATTTTAATTAATGTTAAAGAAAAAAAAATCATCACTAGTCTCTTGATTCTGGCTAGCACTTTTTTATTTACCATTTTTCTGTCTTTGATGGATGTTGTTCATGCTGTTTAGCTTACAGTAACAAGCAGGTTTTTAATTTTTCTATCTTCCGTCTCTCTAGTGACAGTCTGTGATGGATGATGTGACAGAAAGATTCATCAGAAAATTCTAAATCATGAATACAAAGTAAATTAGTAATATAAGAAGTAGATTTGCATTCTCCACTGATAGCACTCCAACTGCATCAACTGCTCTCGGTTTTTGCTTTTACTTGTGATGAAAATAGTAGCTCAGCATAGTGATTCTGATTTGCCAGTTACCATGTTGTTCCAGAAAATTAATCTTCTTAACATACGAATTATGTGCAGTTGTACAGTTTTGTTTGCTTTAACTCTCCTCAGGGCAACATTCACATTAAAAAATTGTTTTCCTCAGGTTTAGGGAAATATGGGTTTCCAAGAGATCTTCTGCAGTTGAATGGTTGCTGGGATTCCTCCTTCTGAGGTCCTCTACCCTTTGAGGATAGAAAAAAAAGTCAACGTTCTCTCAGCTTTGCCAAAATGACCAGCAAAAGCAGTGATGAATGTATTGAGTACAAATGCTGTCCCTATTTCCAACGTAAATATATTTTCTCTTGTATAAAAGTTGTTTTTTATAAAGGACAATCCTTCGCAGAAATAAGTAGTATTTCAATTGCTTACTCGTAAGTGAGAGCTATATTAGGCACAAACACACACAGAAAAGACACATGCACAGAGAAAACTATGATGTCATCCTGAAAGAAGAAATCCGTTCACATACTGAATCAGTTAAACATACTTAAATCAGTTCACATACTTAAAAATAGGTACTTATGGAAGTCAGGAGGGACTAAGATAAATTTATGCAACTAAAAATTGTAACAAGCTAAGAATTAATAGTGGAAAGAAATCTGGATGAATTTAAAACATTTCTTCTTACATACACTATATTTTCAGTAACGGTATCTTAACATTACAGCTATTAGTCTCGCTGCAAAACTACTTCAATCTCAGTAGCAGCTTGGATTATCTCCAAACAAGTGTTTCTTTCTGTGGTCTGTACAGCTTCTTCTGCAGTCTCTTTTATAGCTCTCATTAAAGGTAAGACTGACCAAGTTAAAAAGAGATAGCAAGGCATCTTATTCTGTCATCAATTTCCAGCCATTGGATTAGACTTTATAGTCACTTAATCTAACCTTCTGAATTGCAAAGGTGACATTTTTTCCATCAGTTCTTATATATATCTTAGAACTTTGTGTTGTCACTTAGTATTGTAGTATGTGAACATAGCATCTGGTGGAGCTATAAAATTTATTTTTGAAAGAGTCTTAATTTAAAGAGTTGCAGAGACAGAGTTCAACAGAACATCGATTATAAGATTCCTCTGTTTAATTATTGTCAGTTTAAAAAACGAGAATGTGATTTCTAGCATTAAGTTTCTCTTCCAGCTAGTGGATTTTATGATAAATCATTGAATGTTTCTTCAAATCTGGAAGCCCCTGTTAGCAAAGAGAAGCTGAAACAAATCTTTTTTGTCCCAGGAACAAAGAAATCAGCATGTATGTGTTCCCATCAGGCAGTGGTGATGCCTTTGAGTGTCAGTTTGCTCCCAAAGGTACAATTACAGCATATGTCTCAGAGGAAATACATATTTTGTAAGGCTAGAACTTGAGGAGTGAAAATCTATAAGACTCAGAATGGCAAAAACACTTTTATTAACTTCTATTAATATAGAAATAAGATAAAGAGGCAAAATTCACAATCTTTCTTTATAAAAGACAGTAATTGATTTATGCATTTTGGATGCTATGGTCTTGAGGTACAGAGAAGATAGAATGCTACTCTGGTTTAACTATATGACCAGCCATGACAAGAGAGAGAGTACTAGTATAAGAAATGCTTCTTTAAAGAACCTTTGAAATACACAGGATACATCAGAGTATGCTGCCAAAAAGTATCCTGGAGCACTTCAGAGCAACAGGATCACTAAGGCAGTGAAGTGTGTTTTGTTATATACTGCTTTTGTCTGCTACTTCTCACGTAGTCTGGCAGCAAAGTCTGACCGAAATGCCCATATGTATAATATGTGTATCTGCCACATACCCTTGAAATCATAAAATGTGAAGATGAAAAAATTTAATTCTCAGTCAGAGTCACTTAAGATGCCTGGGGAAGGCAATAAACCTTATTTCCGAGACATAGGGGGCCTGGACATCAGAACCATCAGAGTCACTGGCAGAAGTTCACATGTTATGCACCTCATGCAGAGAGAGAATGTCTATATGCAGTACTGGAAAGCTTACTGTTTATGAGACTGAAACTATAAAACCTTGCACAATAGTCCTGCAGTGTTCAAGAAACTGATTAATTAGATCTATGACATTTTTTTCATTCTTGTGCCAAGAATCATATCCATATCTGAGATGCTAACCTACTTTGAAAAAAAACGACTAGATAAAATGTGTTTAAATCAAGTTTTTCCTCTCCTTGTCAATAGAACTAAAACACATATGCTTTCTTAATTTATTTAGCATATTTGTGATAGAGGTGTAAAAAGGGCCATCCAGACAGCTCCTTTCTTTTTCATTTTCTTTTTCACTTACCTTGGAATTTATTTTTCCCTCTGAGATACACCAGAGGCCAGATTACACATTTTTCAGGGGGTGTTTCTAAGTCCCTAAAGCTAGTTATCACAGTTGGTACCTTCTACTCTGTATGTTCATCACTGATTCTGTCTAATAGTGTTCAATAAAAGTGAGGAAACTGGGACATTGTATCTTAAAAATCATTTAGATTTTCAGTAGAAAACAGACATTGTATCAAGAAATTTGTGAAAAAAACCACACTACCTGTTTGTTTCACAGTAATTCCAAAGACGTAGCATGAACTGTTGCTATAAATAACATTAGAAATGCTTTTGAATTAACTGTGTAAAAGGAGATATGAATATACAAAAAACATGCAGAGTAATTTGAAAAAGAGGTTGAGCTAAAAAAAAAAATTAGAAATGGAGAAGAGAGAAAAACAAGCAGTATAGTGAAAGGAAAACTTAGAAAGGAAAAGCTAGTATGCTATCAGAGTTTGCCTTTTCCTTCTTAGGAGAAATATAAAGAAAAGAGAAAGAAGAGACAGAATTTCCAAATAAGCCTTACAGGATAGTTTTGAAAATCTGAGGAGATAAAAACAAACCCACATATCAAGACAAAATATCAAGTCTGTGTTAGGAATACATTTAAGATGGCTAGTATGGTCTCAAACTTTCTTTCAATCTGTTACTGAAGCAGACAGGAAAAAATTTAGATACAACTTACTGTGAGATCCTGTGATATAGTTTGCTGCTAACTCTTCCTTCTTTTTATAGATTTAACCAAATTCATGACACTTGTAAGCAAGTGATGCCTTTGAAATATTATTATTAAATTATCATAGCTTTAACTACTACAACTAGAAGTATATGGGGAGGTTCAACTTCTTATTTAAAAGGGCATGTATCATACTTCCTCTTTGCTGAAAATGTAGAATTGAAACAAACCAAACAAACAACTACTACAACAAAGCCACAACTAAGTAAAGCGACTATTTAATCATAGAATCATAGAATTATAGAATCATAGAATTGCTCAGGCTGGAAAAGACCTTCAAGATTATCAAGTCCAACCACAACCTAACTGTACTACCCTAACTGTAACAACTGTAACAACTGAGAGCTAACTCAACTCAACTGAGCACCACAGCCAAACAATTTTTAAACACACAACTACCTCTCTGGGGTGCCCATTCCAATACTTAACAATCCTTTCTGTAAAGAAGTTTTTCCCAATATCCAACCTAAACTTACCCTGGCACAACTTGAGGCCATAAAAAGAATGTAGAACTTTGGAGAAAAAATGTTTATTAGGTACTTCTTTTATTTAATAGTTAATCTCAAAAAATATTACATTGCCATTTATCTGTCTATCTATCTATCTATCTACCTATCTATTTATCTATTCATCTAACCATTGCTATTTATTATTTGGGAAAAGTTCTCCTTTTACTTGAGAGGCCTAAACACATCAGACATAGCAAATGACTGCCTATGTCCCAGAGAAATCAATGAGAAATTTCCTTTGAAGCCTTGTCGTGAAGTGGGCAGTGCACAACTCTCACAGTGTTAGAGGAGGCAAAACAAAAAAAAAAAAAAAAAAGTTTAAAAAAATATAAAAAAAAAAAAATAATATATACAAAAAAAAAAAAAAAAAAAAAAAAAAGGTCTACATGATATGGAAGAAGCAGTTTCTTTCAGGTATCATTTGAATATAGAGTGTCTAAGTGCTTTAACTGCTGTGAAATTTAGTTTTCATATTAATTTTCTTGGAATAAGCAAGAAAATCTCTTTCAGCAGCACCTCACGGGTCAGGTCTGAAGAATACAACCTGTCTGACAACTGCTTCCACCTTTGTGTGTTGTCAGGTGAAAACTAAAACTTTTGTGGTGTTCTTTATGACACGCAGCACTTCCATTCTATTCACCTAAAATCTAAAAGTTATATCATTAATACGTAGTATGCCCTCGAATACAGAAAATCAATTCGTCTATTTTATTTTTTAGTATTTACCATATTTTTATCCCATTTTGCAATTGTGGGGTGTACTGATTACATCATGTCTAAGAATGCCAATTTTTGTTAGAGAGATTTTAGCTAAGTACTTAAAGACACTGGAAATCTGTCAGCAGCAGGCAAGACAGAGCTTCATATAAGCATCAAATTTTGTCAAGAAGATTTGTGTTCTGGATGTTAATGAAGGGCACAAGAGAGAAAGGACCAAGTGGAACAGAAAGCTTGTGTGAATGTCTTCAAGCCTCCGGATGAGCTCAGGGCAGACCCTCTGCCTATGAAATCATTTTCTATTGTTAGCCTGCACAAAATGTTTGGCTGTAAGCCTACTGCAAAACTAAGCTGTTTTTGTGCCAGACTACTGTTGTGAGGACAGTGTATGACTGCTACTTTGCACATGCAGAACAAAGAATAACAGATAATTTTTTTTTCTTCTCTGTGAAATTCAGTTTAATAACCATTATTGTCATTGTTTACAGCAAATGATTAGAAAAACCTGTTCAGGCAGATGTGTTTCCCTTCACTAGAGATGAGAAAATTTGACTGTCCTAGTCAAATTAGAGAGAATTTGGTGAGAGAGAATTCTCTTGCCCACGCTGTGTCCATTGATGTAGGTGCACTTGAGCTGAGCTGAGCTGTTGGCCTCACCCCCAACCTTGGCATGGTCCCCCTAGGCTCATCTTCTGTTTTACTGGTTGTAATAAACTACTCAGGTTGACAATCTTGAATATTGACAGTCATATCTTTTTATTATAAGTTCACATTGCAGTTTCTGTTCATTGTCTTCAGATTTGAAGGTGGAAGGCTGTAAAAAGAGAAAGTAGAAAGTACTTTTCATAGTTAATTTGGTTCATCCCTGTAGGAAAAGTGTGATGATATTGATCATGTCACAAGCTCCTTCTCTGTCCTAACTAACATTACTAACTAATATAATAAATAACATTACAGTTTTACATTAATTATGAAGCATTTTAAAAGGGGAATAGGTAGGAGAAAGGATGGATGAAAGAACTCAATAAAATGTTATCTTGTTTGACATGAGTTTTAACAGAAATGCTTATCAGCCTTGAATGTGATTCACATTCTGTCAGCATGTTCAAGAAGAGGTAGGTTTCTTTGTAGCATAAGTAAAATGAACGTCATTCATAATGTGAAATAAATACACAAAACAAGTATCCTAAAACATTGTTTCTCCAAGGAAAATGCTACTGTCAAAAGTCATAAATGATTTATCATGAAGAAGACCCTAGATAGTTTTGTTTCTCTCCTCAGGACCCACTGACATTAATTATTTCCAGGAATCAAGTAAACGCCTCTAGGTAAAAATATGTTCTGTGAAATGCAACTCTCTTAAAGCTCCACTTACATTTCTGTTGACATTGATCCTAAACTGAGGTTATATGAGTACTTCCAGAGAAGTAAGATATGTAAATGAATGAATATACCATATGAACTATGTTAAGATTATTTTCCTTAGACTGAAATGATCACTGGAAGCCATAGCATTTGTTTTTAGATTTCATTTGAAATTAACTACTGGTTATGATAAATATTGGACTAAATAAAGTATAACCTCCTCAACAAAGAGTTTTACCAAGCTGAAACCATAGTACACTTTCAAAATCCATTAATCTACTGGTGTTTGCCAAATTCTGAATAAACTACATAATTGTTCATAAATCAGATATTTCACCATACTAATCCCATATGTTGAAATATAAATATATTGCCTTCTAAAGTACTATTGATGGTGTGACCGTTTGCACTGATGAAGGGATAAAAAGGTCATATCTGTGTAAGCTCATGTTTTATCTTTATATTTCAGAGCATGCTCAGTATGACTTATTCTGACAAGATACTACCCTGGCATGATTAGATTATATTCAAAGGCAAAAGTGTTTGTTTAGCTTTACTGACATTGATTGTGGATTTTGCTGTTACTGTTTGTTTGTTTGTTTGTTTGTATAAAAACTTATGTGATTTCTGTTAATCAGGTCTCATATATCTGCTCTGGTAGTTTTATAGGTTAGCACCTAAAATTATGCTATAAAGTGGGGATTTACAATAAAATTCCATCAGGGCAGTCTTGCATTCATCTTTTAGAAATTCTATCAATTTCCATAAAAAGCAGATAAACAAAGCAGAACAACAACAAAATAACAGTGTAAATAACCGTGTTTCAAATTGCAGTTTCTACAAGTAATAATCTCTCCATAGTGTGGCTTCCATCTTAAAGGGTATCTGAATTCTTCCTGGTAACCAGTGCTGAAATATTTTTTTCTAGCAATCTAGATGATGGGGAAACATTTTCCAGTGTCCAAAAAGATTTTTAAAATGCTGTTGATCTTTTTGATGACTGATGCCCTGAAGTATCAAGGGTTGTGCTGGCAAAACAGCATCATGTCTGCAAGCAGATGATGTAATGAGAAAACACTAGTAGATAATAGCTAATACACAGAGAGTGGAAATTTTGCCCCATGCTCCCATGAACTAAATTAGTGATAGATGTTATTTTCATGAGATCACAGTTCTGGAAAATTAAGGATTGCTCCAAGGCTATAAAAGAAAGAAAGAAAAACAAAAACAAAACAAAACCAAAACAAAAACCCACAGAAAATATAGATGTTGCTATTAGTGGTAGAGTCAGGACAGTTAGTTTTTGATTTGTGATGGATTAATTTTACAGTGTCAGTGGAACTCAGTGTTTAAATCCTTAAACCCTTCAGTCCTTCAATCCTCAATGTGCACTGAGTGCAGTTTTTCCATATCAAGCCATTAGCCCTGTTTAAAGGATACTCGTATTCTTAAAGATCTAGTTTAAAGAGCTTATTTTTACGTCATAAATCTTTGATGGAGCCCTCTATAAGTAAGTGTACAGCAGTGGCATAGTCAGTCAAACAATCTACATTTTGTGAGAGAGTCTGCAATAGATTGATGTCCAGGTAATAGTACCAGAAGTGAAAGGCAGCATCTGAAGGCCATCAGCCCAGAAGTTGAGTGTCAGAGATATGGCTCAAGCATAGGGTCTCAGACTGAAAGTGAGGTATATGCCCAAGGGAGAGGTTTTCACAAGTGCTATGCTGTTAATATTGCATAATTTATGAGAAGCTAAGACACTGGTGAACCATTTTCTATTAAAGGAGAAAGACCCTGGTATTGCACATAAGATTTTGCTCAGCCTTATCAAGATCCATTTTTTCTGCTTGAATGAAAGATCACAGCAAGGTGTGTGTTGTAAAGCAAGCTTATACGATCAAAATTAAAATTGAATTCTTACAGAGAAAATATTTTAACAGTAAAAACTGCAGAATTCCCCTGAAAGTGAGATTTAGTCCAATTTGACACAACAAATTATTTACTGTTCAAGGGAGTACCACTAACAAATACAGATTACATGTTTAAAACCCTGTTTTGCCTGAAGCTAGTGTACCTAGAAGATGTATTAACTGTGCAGCTCGCCTATTTGTGGGGAGTAGAAGAAATTTACCTCTATTAAATTATCAAAGGAAATGGGGAGGAATATGAACAATATAGCTAAAAAAGGCCAAATATTCAGAATTACTTGCTTTTAGTAACTACTTAACATGGCAGATAGACCAAGGAGGCTGTGCCCTTATCTACAAGGAAAATATGTGTCATTATTTCCTGGAATACAGAAAGAAAAAAAGGCAATTCCATTAGCCACAGATATTAAAATGCCAGATGGGGGAAGGGGAGCCACTCAATGCCTTCTGCAGGGAGCCTCCTCCATTATATTAGTGCTTAGTGTTCTAACAGGCTGAAAATGAAGCACAAACTCATCAGAATGATTATTTCTTCTCTTCCTTTTGTGGGAGATGTTCTGAAGGATGCACATCTTTATCTTAATCACTGATTATATTTGCTGTAGTCAGACTCTAAAACAAGTGTAACAAATCTATTGCTATGCTGAGTTGTTAGGAGCCCCAGTACTCTGTCCTCAAATGTGTAGCTCTGCTATATGAAAAACAGAAAGCCCTCTTTCCCCTGCTGGTGGTTTGAATTGCTCTAATTTGTTATGGTATTAGCACCAGATGTCATGGTATAAAAGGAAGCCCGACCCAGAAAAAGACATTGCCATTCTGACCTTCTATTGAGTTCTGAGCTCTTGCGCGTTTTTGTCTTCTGAACAAATCAAGCACTCACAAACATGCTGAATAGAGTGGGAAAAACAGCTTGACTTTTCTGAAAGAAGTTACAAACAGAACCGAGATGGCCACTTGCCACTTCCCTTGTCAGGGTGACACCTACAACTGTTTGTTTTGTTTTTTTTTCTGTGGGGGTGGGGGGAATGAACCTTCATAACAGCAGGCTTGCTCTTTCCTCCCCCCTCCCCCTGCACCTTTGTTGCTGCTTCTGTTCATCCAGAAAAAGGTTTTTACTTTTCCTTCAGTTTTTGGAGTCTATATTTCAGGGAAGGCAAAAGCTATACCTTATGGGGCTTTTACTTCTTTAGCAAGATCCTGACACCATTTGTTTGTATCATACAATGAGTGTTTCGTTTATTGTATTTGCAACTCAATTTGTCTTGAGAAAACAGGTTTACATTTGTGCAAAAGCCCAGCAGTGTATCTCAAAGTCAATGCAGCCATATGCCTGCTTGCATTGATAACAGTCTGTATTCATGACAATGGCAGTCAGCTTCCACATAATTCACTGGTCTTAGCCTTTAAACTATGTTTTTAAATAACTGATGTTTGTCTGGAAATCTGAAAATCCTGTTTACAAGAAGAAGTAATAGAGCTTGGGAACATTAGTTTAGAGATATAAATAGGTGTTCATATGTGTACGTATATGGAGAGTACATGTCTATGTTTGTGTATATATTTCCAAAAGTCTTGGCAGCTAATCTATTTCAATTGCTTTCATTTATATAAGACAAAATATTTTGCCACAGCACTTAATACAGAGCATGATGTCATAATAGTACTCACAAGTAAAAGTCATTTAAAAAAAAAAGAGGAAAAATTAGAAATCCTGTGCCTGCTTGCTGAGGATGCAAGTACCGTCGGCAATGCAGTAAGAATATAGATTGTCATCTTTTCCCATACCTGGCTCAGATAGATTCAGGGCACATACGTATTGCTCAGCAGAGGGCATAATCTCACACTCCTGTATGATGCTGCCTGCATCCAGTGAAAGTAGAAAAAGAAGGAATAACCACTAGTGAGAAGAGCCAGTGACAGAACGTAATGTACATATCACCAATAAGAACATTTTAGAATCAGACTATAGCATTCATTCATACTGATTCATATTTACTTGTTTAAGAAACCCAATAAGGATCTACAGTTTTTTATGATTATATTGAGCAAGCACAATTATATAGATTTTTTATTCAATATAAGATGTTCAAGTGGGAAGATTTTCTTTATGTTGAAATAAATTTTTTCATTCATCATGTTCAAAAGCCTGACAAAATAGACAGACATTTGTGATTCAAGTTAAAAAGAACTGAAAATAAAGAGAATTTTAGGACCTTAACCTATTAATATCTTGGACATTAAAATATGGCTTATTTGTGAATTTTAAATTCTACTAATTTGCCCCATGAGATTTTGCACAAGTAAACATGGGACAAAAATATTTCTATGTAATAGAAGTAGTGTGAGGTTTGTTTCTTCATCTTTATGTCACATCTTTTAATGCATATTTATAGCTAAATTTGCATCTTCATATCTTTGCAAAAAATTTTATCATCACAGTAGAATTCGTTAAACTGGATCACTCATTTTGTGTTACTTTTCAATTTTCACAGAAGAAGCAATTTAATGTTCATATCTTTAGATGTTCTTTGGTTGCCATTTTGATTTTTAAATAGGACACAAATTAAAGATATATGTCAGGGTTTCTGGTTTGGATCAAAACTACAGAAAATGAATTAGATGATGAAGGAACTCAAGATAAAGCTAGTAATTCACTTCTGTCTGATTTTTGGAGTACAAAAGGAACACAATCAAGTCAAACCCAGAATGAAATAGTTTGGCTATTTCATCTTGTATCTGATATGATCTCTTCTCAATTAGCAAAGCAACATTCCTTTTCTTTGCACAGCATTGCTCTTCATTCACTGTTAAGTTATTTGTATTAGAGACATTTAAGTCTCTAACATTTAAGTCTCTGAATCCAATATTTCATTAGAATCATCCCTATTATTACAATTCATAAAGCACAGGAGGCCAGATATTAATGTGAAATATATTTTTCAGCATGAGAGTGAAGTTTCATGAAGTTACACATACACACACAGAGAAAGAAAATAAAATTGGGAAATATAGCACATGCTGTGCCAACAGTCCTTCTCCAAGGATTCGTACTGTTTGGAGATTTCTTTCAAACTGTTTTCTTTTTTTTTTTTTTCCTCCCCTCCAGTCTCTTCTATTTATCACCAATCCACTGCTTCTTTTTATTCTTTACAGTACTAACTGACACCCACCAGCAACTGCAAGCTGGGGTCACTAAGGCAATTGCCTGTGTCCTGCTAGAATTGATCACTGATCTGGGAGTATGACACGTATGACAGAGCAAGGTCACTCAACTCGTTTCCCTCAATTTTTCATTTCTAGGCAGGTAGCTACCACTTCAAGGTTCTTCCTCCTTGCCTGTCATGTTACTTCTTATTATACAACTACTTGAAAAATAGAGTACTCCAACCTCTGTATGATATTCTTTCCTAAGTATTTCTCTGCTAACAGTTCAGAAACATTCCGGTATGTGTCGCTGGATTATATGATTTTAGTTAGTTGCAAGTACTACTATTGGAAAAAAAAATGCAAAGAAAAAAGATTCTAAATAATTAGGAACGAACTATTAAATCTTAATGAAAACACTGTAGAGGAGTTATACATCTATTGGGATGACACAAACAATAATTCACTGTGAAGTAAAAATTCACTCAGATGTCTATGATATTAACTTTTGCTGATGTAAAGCACTTTTGACTATTCTATAAATGGAACAATCAATTTATCTTCAAGAAAAACAAGCATTTGGAAGTTATACAATGTCTTTTATTTAATATTGACAAACCTGTATATTAATAGTTAGCCTCATACTCTGACGTCAGTACTTAACTATCAAATATTTAATGTAAAAATATATGTATTTATGTGAATATGTGGAGCAAATTTTGCAGCTCGTTCTTTTGTTTAGTTGGCTTGACGTTGTTAATTAATTCTGTATAGAAGTAAATGGTATATTAATTGACAGGTTCCTTAAAGTGTAATTTCTTATCTGACCAGGGACTGAAGCCATAGGGATGTTTATAAATGAATACTAATCCAGAAGTCAAATAAATTCTCTGAAGGAAGAAAAACTATTGCTCATTCTATTTCACTGAATTTCAAAAGCAGAGATTGGATATAAACATAACAGTGGAAGTCAGCCATTGCTTGACCATTTTCATGATCTAGAAAAGATGTTGTAATCAACTCAGATTTTTAAATGAGGACCAGCTGCTATAGTCAACAGTGCCAACCAAAATCACTGTCATTACTAGCTTTGATGCCAGGTTATCCGATGTTGATGAGTGCTTCCAAAAGACAAGAACAAGAACAGAACAGAAGATTTAAAAGATTTCAGAGTAGAGAGATAAAGTAAAAACAAAACAAAACAAAGAAAAAGGTTGATCCATGTTTCAATTACTGGATTTAAAAACTACTGAAAACTGAAGATGATTTTCATCTAGTTGGTGTAAATCAATCTCTGAGAGTCAATGTGGTGGATAATAAGATAATAAATAGAAGAACTGGCTGAGGATAATTATTGTAGTTTTGAAAATTGATTTCTGAAACAAATTGTTTTGGCAACATTCTTATGTTAAAATAAAAGATATTATGTTGGCCAGATCCCAGAACTCTGAAATCATAGGAAATGACGACTGGGTTGGACCTTTCCATGTTATTATGTTTTTCCTTTGCACAAGGACAGTCTTAACTGAACTTAAACATTACTGGCAGATGTTTAAATAATCTGCTCTAAAATGGTAGAACTTCAATTTCATATCTAGACCTCTATAACCCTCAAGCCTTTTCTTATTACATAAAATTGTTAACTGCGTCAATCATTCCTATCCCAGTGACTATTATTTTATAGCAAAGAAATAGTACTTGCATATTCTCACTGTTGGACAAAATATATGTATATACTCCTGGTATCTGACTTCACACTGTAAGGCTTAGAATCAGGTTCTTGTTTGTTTATCTATCTATCTATCTATCTATCTATCTATCTATCTATTCTTACTACCATGATGATCACTGTGAACACTTTACTCTCTTTCATGTATATCTTTTGTTTTTACCTGCAATCTTAGCAGATGTTAGAATATTATGCATTTTTAAATTATATACTGTAGTATACTACCTTGCCATAATTAATGTCTTTATAAAACACCACAATAGCTGTGCAGGTATTTCAAAATATTCTATATCATAAGCTTTTTATCAGCCCTGTGGAAAAATTGCCCTATCTATAATATGCTCTTATTTCATTTGTGATTTAACAGCATTCAGATATAATGTTCTTTACTTATTTACCTATCATATTCCTGGAGTGTTGCCTTTATCATGATATTTTCATTTAATTTAAAATTTCAAACAGCTCACTCTCAATTTAAAGATTGCTCGCTATCATATTTTCCATGCTGCCAACTTGTATCTAAATTGTTACACTACTTATCCCTGAGACTGTGAAAGCCCAAACCTATTTTTTTGTTATGGTTGGGTTGCTCCCAGAACAAACAAAGAAAGGCACTTTTGCTTCATATGTTAAAATGTGACCAAAACAAGATAACACAAGTAAATGTGTTATGATTAAATACAGAGAGAACATTTCAGGTTTCTGCAGTTATAATAAAAGAAATAAACCTAAGTGGACGGATTTCTCAATCTTCCCTATTTCTGCTTTAGAGAATCTTAGTGAAAAGATCTGTTCGTGAAACTTGAAATGTTTTGAAGAAGGATATCAATGTCTATTGTCATCAGAAGCTTACTGAACACCAGAGTCCACAGTTCCTCTCTGCAGAGACCTCCTCCATCAGTTACTGAATATTAGACTAAGGACCCTTTTAATCGTAGTTTGCAGTTTGAATATAGGTTGCATTAGAGTTTCAATTCAATTGATTTAATTTCTGTCTTTTTCTCCTGTCCTTTAAAATATCATTGTATGACCATTTTCAAAAGTTTTTAAAATGCACAAATAAAGAACTCACAGGGAAAAGAAGCTGAAAACATTTGAGGACGTAGAGAAGTGTCACAGAGTTGATCAGATCAATCTATGTCCGTGACAGGGGCAACAGGGCCTCTGCCCTCCCCCCCCCCACCCCAGTCCCACAAAAAATGGGAAGGAAGGAAGGGAGGAAAAGAGCAGCGGCAACAATCTATGGAGGAAAACTTATTTTACTATAATATCGGAATACAAAATAACACAATATATACAATTTAATTGAAATTGAGATTAATAAATCAGACAAGATGAGAGAGAGAGAGTTCCCGGGACCGATTCAAACCTGAAAAGCTTGGAACGGCTAGGAAAGCACCTCCAGCACCCACTGCCAGGCAGCAAGAGAGCGCCCCCCCCACCCGGAAGGGCCAGATCCCGTGACTGCTGTAATGTACAGGGATAGGTACTTGGAATTGGGGCAGTGACACTTTAATGCCCCGTGCACTACATGATGTTTTGATGTGGAATACTGAAACCATAAAAAAAAAAACAAAACAAAAACAAAAACATAGAACCATGACAAGAAGGTATTTTGTAGGGCATTTTATGAGGGCATTTAGACAACCTTGAAATCAGTGTTGACTTAAATGATAAAATAATAGTCAGAAAGTACCAAGTATACGTAGTGATCAAGAAAGAAAGTAGAAGAAACAAACAGAAATGTAGTTATGGAAGAAACCAGATTAAAAAAAAAAAAAAAAAAAAAAAAAAAAAAAAAAGTAAATAAAAGATTTATTAAATCTAAGGTAATATTAATATTGATAGGATCTTGGACATTCTGCATCCATCTGCAGAAGCTATCCCCTCACCTTGAGGGTTAAGTGCTTGTCAATAGATGCCTTGTTTCAGAATAAGGCAGCCAGGCATGAATACATTGGGATGGAAGAATCAAGATGCTTTTTATACAAAGTTCTGATTTATTTCTTTATTGGGAATTTAAAAAGCTTTACAATTATCCTCATCAGTGTTCACTCACGCGACTTCAGTAAGTAAAATAACTGGGTATAAGCATGTTGTGGCTAAGAGAACATGACAGCGAGCTACAAGATTCATTACCTATTAATTTTGCTGGTTTATTTTAGTAAGCAATTTATAACTTTTCCAGTATATCTTTTACATTCTCCATTCATTGATTGAGTCCGATTTATACTTTTTCTTTTGCATTAAAAGATGTATTGCACTATTTAAAGTCTTAATCTGGCCCATATGTCAAAACTATATCTAAATGAGCCACTTACAGCACTTTTGTATGAATTGCATTATATAATTCTTTCCCCTTCTGTGTTTTTTTTTATTATTATTCTTGCAGAATCAATTTCTTAAATAGAAAGTGGAAAGGAACAAATAAAATATAATAAGCAGTAATATGAAAACACAAACCAAGTCTACTTGACTACCAAGTCAAGTACAGGCTGCAGAAGCTATTTTAAATCCCAGAGAAATAAAATGGGCTAAAGCCCTACACAAAAATGCACATTAATAAGGTTGTACATGTAAACTGGGAGTAGTTCAGTGGCGTTGTTTTACCTGTGTGTATTTTGTTGCAGTAGATTCTAGTTTTGAATCTGGTTATCCCAGGCTCCTTGTCTATCTGACATGCTAACCTATTTAAATTATTGCTACTAAAAGTAGCTTGAAAAACAATGTTCTCCCTAAAAATTTTGTAAACAGGTGGTAAAAAGACAAAAACAAAACAAACAAGCAAACAAAAAAAACCACCAACCAACTAAACATCAGTACTAAAAGTAAAAAATAAAATAAAAGAGAAGAAGGAGGAGAATCTTTCTCATAAGTTGTTTTTAATTGGTTATAGTGTTCTAGATTTTAATTCCAGAGAAAGAAGCAACAACATAATCCTTGGATCTACTCCAGTGTAACTGAGGTGAGAAAGAACACTATTTTTTTTTTTCCTCTGAAGTTTCTCTGCATGTTTTGTTTGTGCATTTTTTTCCTAACATGTAATTTCGTATTGCTTCATTTGTTATATGCGCTATGAGGTAGATCATCAACTACTTTAACTTTTCATGTTGTTTCTTTGACATATCTATTGAATGGCCCACTGATTCTAAAACAATATGTTTGCAGTAGGCTATAGGAAAAGTAGTACTTTTCTTTGGTTGGCTAGCAGCAGGCTGTGACATCTCTTATGATACGTTTGTACTGTCCAAATGTGCACATAACCTGCGTACTGATATTGATCACAATAATGACATTTGTCATCTGCTCCATTGTAAATGTGAGAAGCTCCTTCCCACTTAGCACGCCACAATAAAACTTGACTCCCACTGTGTACACTTTAGTCTTATTCGAAGTATAATGAACTTTCTTACTTACCACTAAGGCTCCTTTTCTGCACAAAGCGTGCTAATTTCTCCTTTCTTTTTTAATGGGAAGACCATGACTTTGTTAGATGATTTAAGGTATTGATGTATTTTTAAGATCTCAACATTAATCAAGACACTTTTTCACCCCAAAAAATGAGAATATTTTCACCACAGGTTTAGTTTTCCTCCTACACTATTTTGTGTTAATATGTTGCTTATTATAAGATACAATATCACCAGTGGTTACTATAATGATCCTTAACATCTGTTCTTCACAAATACCAACTGTTTCTTAATTTGGTGCCATATTTAAAAATAATTTCCTGCTTTCAACCCTCAGTTTAATACCAAGTTATATTTCATAAAATTCTGTTTTACTCAGTAGCTTATTTTGTTTCTTTTTTGTATGCTTGACTCTTAGGTTATAATTGTTTACTCCTCTCATTCTGGATAAATTTGTTGGAGTGAATAGTTCTCCTAATCAACTGCTTCTTACTGCTTATTAAGACTAAGTAGGTCTTACTTTTTTTTTACATGTATTCTGCAAGTATAACTGGCCTAGCTAATTTCTATTTGTCCTTAAAGACAAGAAAAAACATTTGAGTTAATCAATAACTGAACACAAATACAGATAAACATTCTTTTTTCAATTAAAAAAAAATCCAGGAAACTCTAAGCATCTAGTTTTTGTTTGTACTTATTTCTACATTTTCTAATTGGTAAAATGGAAAGATTTCAGATTTTTTTCCTGTTTCTGACTTGCTTGAGTCACTAAGAAGATTCATAGTCTTCTACAAATATAGACTCTTTTAAAATCTCACCTTTTCACATACACTGGACAATTCACAGATTAATACATTGTACTTGAAGTGCTCTGTTGCAAAAGTAAAGACTTTCGCAAGCTTTTTATTAATGTTGATAGAAGAATCCATTTTCTTGTTGTTTTCCTAGTTATGCTTAAAATGAACAGATCAGATACAAATAATGAATTTTTTTTGATGAATATCAGATATAATCATTTAAAAGAGCAAGAAAAATTCTTTTTTTTTTTTTTTAAGTTTACATTCTTTTTATGACAAAGAAACTTACTCTTTTCTCTGTACATTTCCTAACACAATTAATTGCTTTTAGAGTCTCCTAGACATTACTGCACATAGTATGTAAAACCAATAATATCATTAACCTAGTGGTTAACACATACAGTTGAATTTATTTCTTGAGCTGTGCCCCTAATTTCAACAGAATTATATCAAGACTGCATATATTTTTCTAATAGATTGAAGGATTTATGAAATAATATCAAGTGGTTAAGAAGCAGCAGTAAAGAATGAGTTGGTTTGTGCCAGTATGTTGGCCTCAGAAGCAAAAAAGAACATGAGACCAAATGTGACTGAATATAAAATGTCAATCATTGACCTCTAGAGAATGAATATTGTTCCTCGTAATAGGTACATTAACTTTAATACTCACTAATTATTTAAAAAAAAAAAATCCTACATTCCCTTATATATTGCTTATTCTAAAAGTAATTGTGTAATTTTAAATTAAAAAATGTGCTAAGCTGTGGTATGCAAATTTTGGGTTACTAGATAAATAAGATGAAAAAAAACTACAATCTTGTTTAATGTATTGATATTATACTGTAAATTCTATTTTTGATTTTGTTGAAGATGACTTTTTTAAACTAGTCTGATTGATGTATACTTTACATACTGTAAATATTTAATTGGAGAAATTAATTAAGAAATGTTTAATGATTAAAAATTTCTATTATGCAATTGTTGGGCTTTTGGGGACATAATCATCTAACTTCCACTTGAAATGTCATCACCAGTCTACAAGCTGAATTTATTTACTCTGTTAAAGAATATTTTAATGTTGTTAATATCTCCACCATGTAGGTTTTATGAACTGGGAGTAAATAATTTTTCTTTCAACTTGTTATTGTTATGTATTATTTGAATTTTGTACTTTGAAGAACTTTTTTTTTTTATCATTGTCAACTTATTCTTTACTACATTCACAAAGTTTACTTTTTCTTACATGCAGACTGCATACTTTACTCCAGCAAGAGATGCAAAACCAAATATCTTATATCTTCTTAAATTTTCTTCTCAAATAGCTAAAACAAATTTCATTTAATATCCATATTGTGTACATGAAGTCTTTTTTGCTTTGTTCAGAAGACCAAACAGGACATTATAAATGGCTACTCATAAGCATTTATTATTTTTCAGTTGAAAATCTCAAGTCTGTGGTACATGAATATGTGTGCTACCAATTTGATGTATCCAAGTTCAAGAGTAGGTTTCTTGGATTCCCCTAAATTTGCCACTTCCAAATATCATTATAAACAAAGGGAAACAAACACATGTATTCAAAATCAAAATTTGATATTATAGTTAAAGTCTCAGCAGTCTAATGACATAATAATTGGTTGCAATTATTGAAGGTTGTATTTCAAATATGTCCTATTAAAATTAATATGCTCAGACTTCATAGTATGCTTCCCTTTTCTTTGGTTAAGAGCTCAGAAGTGTACAGTGCCCTTAAAACTGATGCGGTCAATTGCTTCAGTGTGGTTTAAAGGAAATTTTACAGTGAATCTTCAGCATCCCCAGCCCTTCACTGACAGGAGCAACATGTTGTTACAGATCTTGTCTTCCTCCTCACTGATGGACTTTATTACTTTTTTAATGTTTGTTGTACCTTCCTCTATCTTCATTGGTCTGAATGTCCACGTTGCATCCAAATGCACTACATACACTATTCTTTCATCCTTGTCCATCTTAACAGGTTAAATTCCTTTGGAAATGATCATCTCTGGTGTCATCTTATGCCAGTAATTTTAGGACTTGTGCTATTATCCCATGCCTCCTCTCCTCTATGCAGCATTTTAATCCTGAGTGGTAGCTCATTCTACACATTCTCTGGACGTGGTCATCCATCCAATTCTTTATTCACCAGAGTCCACCCTTCAAATCCATCTCTCTTCATTTTAGAGA